CTTTCCAACCCTAACTATTCTATGATTTTACTCACATATGCTTCTGACTTTTTGGTGGTAGAGGGGGGAGCACAATCTTGACAAGCTGCCTGTCAGTCTTGTTTATCTTGTTACCCCAGCCTACAAGTTTTCGTTTCCTCTTTTGTTTTCTAAATAGGCATGAATGGCTGACAAACAGTCTGCTACTGCTGTTAGACCCACACAGTCCATCTGCCATTAGGTTATTCATCGGTTCATTTCCCTCACTTCTGTACATGCTCCCGAAAGCGAAATGAAGCCAGGTCTAGCCACAGTGTGGCAGCACTGAACTGCTGCCTGTGCCACAGCAGCCAGGCTTCAGCTGGGGCGCCACTTCCACCACCACACTTACTCTCATTTTAAGAGGAGTTTTGGACTGATCAGACCCGGATCTGCTCAGAACCATGTGCCAGCAGCCATGTGGGAGGCAGAGGGGACATAGCCTTCCATGTGACAACCAGAAGGGGAGGTAGCATGCCAAAAGCCCCTCGTTGTTTTGCAAGGATTTATTTACATATTTTACAGTGAATTGGAACTCAGTAAAGTGCAATTAAAAGACAATGTCCTGGGGCTCCAGAAAACAGGTTTCATTTCCCCTCAGCTCCTGGCAGCTGCGCCACTTTTCCCCTTAGCGCAGAGGTTCTCGGGCAGCATCTGCACGTCAAAACCGCAGTGGAGGTAGCGGTAGATCTCCTCGGCCTTCTGCGGGCTGACCTGGGCAGCGGTGGCGATGTCGATGGGGGAGCTGCAAGAGACCACAGCAGAAGGGTACCTCACCTCTGGCTCTGGAGAGCAGCAGGGGATGCCCGGAGAAAAGGGGAAACTGACAGTGGGCAAGAAGCACCCAGCGTGAAGAGAGCAGCAGGAGCACCATGTGCTGCTGGCAGTCACCTCTCCCGGGGTTTCTGAGGGCTGTGAGCACACCAAGCTAAGCAAGCTGAAGAAAGCTGCAGTGAAAACAGGGAATGCCGGGAAAGGAAAAGGTACAGCAGTAGGAGACATGGTGGAAGCAGAGCCCTGATAAACTCAGCTCAAAGAGACAGGCAGATAGATAGAAAAATGCATAAAGAGCAGGACTGATGCAGGGACACGAAAGCTCCTGGGAGCTCTGGTAGTAACAGAAACATGTAGAAAGAGTGCTCCTGAGCAACTACCCCAGCAGGAGGCCCTGGAGGAGAGAGGAGTAAAAGGGAAGTGAGACCTTAGAGCACCTGCTGTACATTGCAGCTGTTACCTGTTGGCCATCTTCTTCACGGAGTCAAAGTAATGGCACATATTGAGAGCAGCAGGGTAGCTGAGGTTGGGAATACTCAAGTAGAAGTTGAGCATTTCCTGTTTGTGACCCTCCACCTCCAACGGCACGCGAATGGTGGCGTTTTTCCTTTGCTCTACCAAAGCCAGGTCTTTCAGCAAACTGGCAGTTTCCTCCTGGCAAGAGCTAAAAAGAATTCGGATGCCAGCCTGGACAAAGGCTGAGAGCATGCTGTCGTAGTACTGCGTCCTTTGGAAAAATCGGGATGTTTCTCCTACAGAGTAAAAATACAGAAAACTCAGATTTAAGAGCTAAATTACTGTGAAAAGAAGAACATGAATTACTTTCAAAGCAAATTGGCTCGAAGATCCCCTGCCTTGAGAACTTGCAACCAAAAACAAGATGAGGAAAAACATCTCAAGGAAGCAAGAGGGGTGAAGAAGCAGAATTTATTTAGTTTTACCTGAATAGAGTAGGTAAAGGTGCTCTAAAGGTAGAGTTTAGGAAATAATACTGAAATTGCAAATTAAATACCATTAGGAGAAAGGATTGGGAGGAACACATTATAGGTGACAGGCCGAATCAGAAGAGGTTTGGTAAAGCTACAAACATAAGAATGCACTTGAACACTGTCAATAACAACCCAGCAGCGCTCTGGAAAGTGTCACGAGAAAAATGGGGCACAACTGATGAAAACGGATGAGACCCCCCCAGCAATGGGGAAATAAAGCAGATCAAGGGCAACCCCCCCATCTGCAACCCCTCTGAGAAGCTACATCATCAGTGACAAATTCTATCGTTGTTTTCATATATGAACTAGCAATAAGTTGGATTTAAGTCACTAAACCAGAGCTGCATCCACAACAATTTGATTTCAAGTAGTGGAGTTTACTTCACAAGAACATCTGCAATTTAACTGGAGCTGTGAGCTCCCTCTTCTGCAAAGCAGGTGCAAGCAAGGCCTCTCAGTTATTTTCTAGAGGCCACTGAAATCAGCAGCATTAGTAAAATGGTTTGATTCATAATTTGGATCTTAGGATTAAAACAAAGGGTTTGTCCAAACTATACAAATTCAAGAAATAATAGTCTTCAATTTTCCACAAATGTTTAACCACTGGAGCTGTGAGCTCCCTCTTCTGCAAAGCAGGTGCAAGCAAGGCCTCTCAGTTATTTTCTAGAGGCCACTGAAATCAGCAGCATTAGTAAAATGGTTTGATTCATAATTTGGATCTTAGGATTAAAACAAAGGGTTTGTCCAAACTATACAAATTCAAGAAATAGTCTTCAATTTTCCACAAACGTTTAACCAAGTCAGGAAGTGTCTTTGCAACAACTCTGTTCCGTGCCTTGTGATCTGAGGTGATAGCTCAGCCGCAGCCTTCCCGAAGTAACTCCTTGTAGGAGTGCTGCTCTTTTCTTCTAAAAACTGATTTCATTCAGCTGATTGCCTTTCACTTGTCCAAGCAGTAGCCAGCACATGGTTTGGTGTCTCCAGTTTGGAAGCAGAATTACTACACAGGGTGGTGTGCCCAGACCAGTTGCCATTCTCACTGGGTCTGAACTGTGAGAACATTCCTTCCCAGTGGGACAGAGAACTCACTTCTTGAGTCTACTATTATTTTACATCAGAGCATGGAAAAGATTGTGCTTGTTCCTTTATTCTGTTGTTCTCATTTTTGCTGAAATCTGTCTTGAAGTTAGGGGTTTTTGGACTTCTTAATATGGTCAGTTAATAATGTCTGAATTAACTTACTGCCTCAGCAATTGGTAAGCAACATATCCTGTTAGATCCAATGTGCCTCTATTAAATGGCCCTCAAAAGCAAAATGAATTCTTACCTTCAGCTGGTGACCTTATTAATGTAATGCTGCTACAGAGACTACAGTACAGGGTTTCAATCTGCTTTCTGCCTGTGCCATACACAAAGCCAGCGTGGCCAGTGCAAGCCCTGAGCAGACACCGGTGCATCCCCTACCCTAGGAACACCTACCTGTTTTCATCCTGTCTGTTTCCACAACCACACATGTCCTCTCAAACATGCTCTGCAGGTGCTGGATCCTCTGGGTGATTTTAGTCCTGTTTGTAGAGTTCAGTAACTCTGACAGAAACATCCTTTCCACCGCCATGCGATTGCTCACGATGTAATCACTGCTGCTCAGCGAGCAAACCTGCACCTTCACAGCATGAACTGCCTTCAAGGAGGAAATCACCTCTGCTCCAGAGGAGATCTCACGACTATCTACCAGAACACAGAGGGAGGGCTTTTTCTCCAGAAGGTCTCGTGAAGACAGAGCTGTAGCTGAAGAGGGGGTTGTGGAAGCAGAACAAGATGGAACTGAAGTGCTTCTACCGGCATTCTTCAAAGAACTTTCCACCTGTAAATGGTGAAAATCACACTGTATTTCTCAGAAATCACAGAAGCATAAGGCCAAAGAACAACATGCCTTTAGAGAAAATATGTTTTTCAAATACTGATGCTTAACAGATACACTTCGTTACACTCTTTTTTTTTTTTTGTACATATTATTTATATGTATTAATTATTTGAATGACAAAACCATGCAGCCTTCATAGAATTGTTTAGGTTGGAAAAGACCTTTAAGATCAGTCCAACAAAACCTGAATACTGTAAATGATAGAAGTCAGGCAGAAAAGTGTAAGAGATCAGGAATCCAACCTCAGACTATGAAGGGTGTTCATTCAGGACAGCAAACAAGTATTTTATAACTACAAAACCCAAAGAACTAGTGAACGTTCTCTATTATTGAAACAGATCCATATTCCTACATGATTTTTATTACTGACTGCTAAGATGCTCTCCAGGTCACCCTGTGAGTACAAATGCTTCCTAGAAAAGGGAGACGGTGCAAAGAAGTGCAAGCAGAATAGTCCTGCTCCTTTATCACACTCCTGACAGCCCTCAGAACAACAGAGCAATACGCCAGGGCTGGTTCTTTAGAAAACATGAGGTGAGAGGAAGGCCCTTGCATTGAGTTAACACCAACCTCACTGGAAGCCTGGAGATTCTCTTTCCCCAAAGCAGAACTAGTGATGGCTGGTGGAAAGTGTGTGCTCCTGACTTGATGGTCTGGGTGAAAATCCAGCGTGTCAGATACTGAAGCTTTCAAGCCAAGAAGCATCTTGCTTTTATCCTCTGCAGAGTGATGAACAGTGCTTTCCCCAGCAACTTCTTTGTGCTGCGCAGAAGAGGCTGAAGGCAATGACTTGGTTAACTTAGCATTTTCCTGTTGTGCCCTGACACAGTCTGTTTTCATGGGCTTTTCATTGCTGACACTTGTTTCTTCCCCACTAGAATCACTGAGAACAATAATTCGGGATGGTTTCTTCTTTTGCACTGGGGCTGGATAGTTCTCTTCCATCTTGGCCTGGTTTATTGTTTTTCTGCGTCGAGTGAGGTATTGTTTTCTTCCATTAGTAAAGCTCTCATTGTTTAGGAGATCAAAATTAATGGACACTTCCTCCTCACTAGTTTCGCTTTTTTTGCAGGTTTCCTCCTCCTCCTCTACAACACAGAAACTATCTTCTGCGTAAGCCTGGTCTTGCTCAGGAATCTGTGGGGAGAAAAAAACAAACCCAGTAAGTTTTGAAACACTGCAATGATTTTGCTCCTCCTCTCCATAAAGGTATGTTGCTTATACAATCCATAATGCACACAAGAACTACAGAACTGGGGCCTTCCCACCTCCCAAACCCTCCCCTGCTCTGCAGTTCCTAAGTTACTTCTCAGAAGGGCTCAACATACCCATAGCTGAGCCCGGAATGCGCGTTCATTCAGATTTTGGTCAGGCCAAGGATTCATCACCAGAAAGCTTTTAATGCAAATATTAATTGTAACATCACCAATGAAGCAAGACTTGCTCACTAGCACTACCACCAAACAAGCTGAATTACAGACAGGAGTATCTCCTTCGCACACGTCTGCACAAGGGGAAGGACACTCAGCCACTGCGCCAGCACAGAGAGGCTGAGAGCACTGGCTTGTTCAGCCTGGAGAAGAGAAGGCTCTAGGGAGACCTTAGAGCAGCTTCCAGTGCCTAAAGGGGCTGACAAGAAAGATGAGAAAGGCTCTGGACAAGGTCCTGTAGGGACAGGACAAGGGGCAATGGCTTTAAGCTGAAAGAGGGTAGATTTAGATTAGATACTAGGAAGAAGTTCTTCCCTGTGAGGGTAGTGAGACACTGGCACAGGTTGCCCAGAGAAGCTGTGGCTGCCCCATCCCTGGCAGTGTTTGGATGGGGCTTAGAGCAACCTGGTCTAGTGGAAGGTGTCTCTGCCCATGGCAGGGGGTTGAAACTGGATGAGCTCTAAGGTTCCTTCCAACCCAAACCATTCTGTGTCATTCTATGATCTATTGTTTTGGGAGCTAACCTTCTAATTGACAAATGTGATCTCTTGACACTGCTGCCTGTGTGGCACCAAAAGCACAGGGTAACCTGATGTACAACCATGTAACAGGCATATGCCCCAACTGTTACGCCTCCATTTAGGGTTTGCTTGTTTCACCAAACTGGGAAGTTGGGTGAGAGCCTGGAAACATCACATGCTGGGTCAGAGGCCTCATCCTTAGGATGTAGCAGTTGGTATCCTTTATGAAACCTGGAAGGACTGTGCAGTCTCACATCGATCAACAAGGATCACCTTCAGTGAAAACACAACTAGGGACTGGGATGCTTTTGCTTCAGACTGGTGGACAGCCTCCCTCTGGCTGAAGAACAGGGTGCGTATGCTTCTGCCAAAGCATCAGTGTCTGCACTCTTTAACTTAAAAACCAAAATGAAGTCAAAACCAAATAAAGTCTTACGTTAGAACTTATTATTTATTAACTACAGGCTGCAAACTAAACTTCAAAGTAGAATTAGAACCTAAATAGTGTCACATACCACCAGAATTTCACAAGGACAGATGTAATATTGTTTATACCTGTGAGAAAATCTCTGTGGTGTTGAATTCACGATGAACCATTTTGTATCTATTGCCAAGAGCTGGACTACGCACAGATTTCAGGTAAATTCCTTTCATCTCAAAGTCTGAATTAAAACAAGAAGATAAAACAGAATATGGTATTATTAAGGATATACTTTTTAATTCAGTATTATTACACTGTGTTTTCCAAATTAAGTAATTCTTTTATAGTCTCCCAAAAACCTGGAGAATTGGCAATTCTCCAGACACCCCTTAAAATCCTGAAGCAAAGGACTAGGTCTGCCCATCCTGCTGTCATGAGGGCTGCCATGGAGAAGGTTTTCTCAGCAGGTAAAGCTTGGGATGCCTGTGGCAGGGCGAAGGGTGGTATTTGCCACAGGAAACCCCAATCACTCAGTTTTCCACATTGCAAGTCTCTCCCTAAATAAACACAACTTATCTCAGAGATTGTATGGGAAACGGATGGGTTTTTTTGAAGTCCACACAGGGTCTTACAGGGAAAACTCACAATTTCAGTGGAGGAGGAAATTTCTTAGCAACATCTGGGAATCTTAAATGATAATAAGATGATTCCATCATGCAAATATCCCAAGGAAAGACAAGGTTCATAAGCACAGGGTAAGTAAAGCATCTCAGCCAGAAAGCAGCATTATCTTCTCAGTTCTGTCAGTAGCAACACTGTAATGTTATCTATTGCTATTTCATATCATATTTTAAGTTTCTTTTTAACAGAAGACCTGAAAGGTTCAGAAATTTCTAAGTGAACTAGCAAATTATGTTCAGTCACAATGGCCCAGGAAGGGTTGCTTGAGGCTTAGGGAAGGGTGATCTCCTGCCCCACAACCCTCAAAAAATTGATTCCAGCCTGCCCAAAGCTGTTGTATGGCAGAAGCTCCAGTGAAGAACTTACTACATAAGAAACCTATGAGAATAAAAGAAGGCAACAAGGTACAAACAGATAATGGAAAGCATCTGATTTACCACAGCTGAGGAGATTACTGCTTATTAGCTGACTGAATGGCCATGCCTACCACACACCACTTGCTAAGCAACACCCCTGATTTAAAAGCATTCACCATTTAACACTTGCGTGACTTCCACATCATCATTCAGGAACTGCACAAGTGAAGAGTTCAGCTCATTCTCTGCATCATCAGTCTCATCAGAAGAAACACCATCTGCATCCTGCTGGGACAGCTCAGCTTCTTCATCTAAAAACTGTCTTCCTGCAGTCTAAAAAAATAAAATAAAAAAACCCAACAAACCAAATTTTAGTTAAAAACTGGCTCCCAATTAACTCCCAATTAAATATTGCTTATGAGATCTCTGATTAAATCAGTTCATTACTTCATAGCATCACCTGCTTCCATGCTCACAGATATCAGGCTCCTGGCTTTGAAAAGAGAATCCCTCACAGGAAGAGGTGATGTAAACACAAAAGCTCGGTGAAACACAGTACAGTGCACAAACATCTGCCCCACCAGTGCAGGAGGGGGAAGTTGGTTTCCATTGCAAAGCCCTGGCCAAAGGCAACCACAGCGTGCAGCACTGCTTGCTAGTTAATAGCACAGGCAGTTTACTAACATAACACATTGTAGCTACTCCACAATCTTAGGTTATTTTGTACCTTACAAGTGTAGTTTTACTCATTTTATTTGCTTTAAAGAATCTGTTTTGATTTTGAAGTTCTGCATTACTCTGAACCCAGGTCCTCTAAAAACTTCAGATACAAATTTCCACTTTTTTGCTCTTTTCTGTTTAGGACTTGGGACTGTTTCATGGATTCATAAGACAGTGCAACTCATTATTGAGAAAATGCTCGTCTTTCAGGGAAGATGAGGCACTTCACACATGAACTGCAGCCCAGGAGACAGGATACAACCCTTGGTACTTAGTTCCATCAAATACAGACAACAAAATGTTCACTAGAATGTACATGGAAACAAAACAAAAGAATTCAGGAAGATGTTTAGTCAGAGAGACTTTATATTCAGCTTTTTCTCTTACAATTTCAGCTATAAAGTACCAAAGTAAAACATGACAAAAAAACCCAAACCCAAACCATTATGTATCCCAATTACTCCGAAGGAATAATTTGTTTGCCTTCAAAATACTGTGAATAAAAAGCAAAGCTGTGAATTTTAGTTTAGTACATGGAAGACTGGGGTAAATTGTGCTACAGTGACATCTCCGATTTTCAGTTTTTCCAAGTCTTTTAATTATTATACCAATTAGTAAGCCTGAATGACAGGCATTATTACTAGTTCCTTTTCTAGAACAGTTTTGATTATTCTGAAACACACTGGAAGTCACCTGTTTACAGGAAAGAACTCCCAATGCTATTGCCAATTAGTCTTAATCCTTCTTTCTTGTGAAAGACTACAAAGGGGACAAACCCTGCAGTGTGAAAAGCACTGTGACACCAGAAACTGAAAGTCATGAGTCTGGTCACACCTGGGAAACAAGTTACCACATTCTTCTATTATTTACTGAATCTTTGAATTCAGTGCCAGTGGCTATTTTGGTCACCTTGGGCTTCTCATAATCTCTGTTATTTTAACTGCAGATCTCTCCTGCATTTACAACCTCATTACCTAAACTTCTAACAGAAGTGGTGGTGGACTGATCAGAATGATGTTGATGTCTTGGACCTTCTGTGGATCTGGGATTCTGACATGTTCATCACTATGCTGTTTAAGTAAGATAATATGCCTTCATATATCACCTTACCTAAACATGGTGACGCTTAGGTAAGATGGTATGTGAAGGCAAAGCATAATTTCGTAAGTATACAATGCTCTTTTTCCATTAACCTTACATTAAAAAATATGTTTAAATAAAATTGCAAAATGGACTTTTCATCTACCTCTTTCTTTGCATTCCAGAACATAAAATAATGATGCTTTATAAGGAAGACTCCATAACAAAGATAGCTTTAAAACATTAAAAATATCCAACATAATGTGCCGCGGAGCCCCGACTATGGTAATTTTTGCCCAGCAGAATCACATCCATGCATATTTAAGAGCTACTAAACTTATTATGAATATACAATTCTGCCCTGCATCCTCTCCTGCATCCAGTCCTGCTGCAGTGACAGATCAAAGTGTAAAGCACTAAGTTCAGATTTAACCTTTGGGGTTGAGGGACCATCTCTGTCTTAATGTGTCCAAAGGTGAAAACATTAGAGTAGGTGGTAAATTCATATGATCAAATATCCTAATAGCCTAAGTTCTGGACAAGAACCTGAACTTCCCAAGTTTGACTAATCTTTGAGTTCTACTTGCAGTGTAGATTGTTATTTTGCTTCTGATTATTATTATGCAGATTCCTCTGAAAGTCAGGCAATGGATGTGAGGGTTAAGACCCTTATCCAGTGCTTCAAGATTTCATAACAAACGTTTGCAAGAAGATTGTCTAAAATAGCTCTGAGCCTCAACCCCCCTAAACAATGTCTTAAAAACAAACAACTGCCCAACTGCATACCTACTATGATACAGTTTTATCATGACATCCTACAGAGGCCATAAAATGGACAGAAGCTTGATCTTTTAGGCCATAAGACAAATTAGAAAATGTTTTCAGTTCATTCTCGCACTTTGGACATAAAGTAGAACCTCACTGTCTCCTTCTGTTTTTTTGGTTTAGTTTGGAAATATGTGCTGCTCATGTTCAAAGACAAATTCTTCTGAACTAGACTTTACAACTTTACCAACGTGCACATACCTCCATACACATATATAAGACAACGCACAGCCATTATCTACATTGCAATTTAAACACAACCCACTCCAAATACAACCTTCAGCACATTAAGAGAGACATGTAATGCCACAGACCTTGTCTGTAAAACTGCTCTTGACCTTTGGCCGTTTCATACTTCTCTGCTGGTTTTTGTTAGAGGCTGTGGAGTTACTTATGGTCCTGTTCGAGTTCTTGTGAAAATCCATGCTGTCATCACTGGACATGTCTGACTAGAGGAACATTTCACAGACACCTCAGTAAATAAGACTAAAGCAAACAATACTTTAATTACACAATCATCCTTCAACAACTGCGGGGTTTAAGCAATACCCGATTTTTATGTGGTTGATTTGCTATGGCAAAATAATGCAATCATGCTAATCACCTTAATGAATACAAAAGGAACAGAAAAAACATGTTAATTGGAAGAAAAAACAGGTCAAATGTGACATAAATTGTTATTTCTTTTCCTCAAACCTTTGCAGCAAAGGTTACTTTACTGCCTTCCACAAAGGACGAAGGGTCAGCTCTCCTGCCTATAACAATATTTCACTGCCAAAAAAACCTACAAAGTCATCTTTGGAGACCTTGGGAAAGAATTGAAGGAAGCAAAGCAATTACATTCTAATACTCCTTAGGTCAAATAGCATAAAATGTTTTTACAAGAACACTTGCCTACTGACTGAGAAAAGTAAATGTTTAAATATGTACTCCAGAAATGAGCTTGCATTATTTCTCGCCCTTACCATGTTAAGTGGGTGCCGACGTTTTCTCCTGGCACGAACTGGTGATTCAAAGTCACTGTCATTCATAACCTATGTAAACAGAAATAAGTATAATTACAAAGAGGGTTTGGGGGTTGGGGTTTGATTTGGCGTTTTGCTTCACTTTTTTTTTTTTCTTTTTTTCTTTTGTTAAGACTCACATCAGGAGACTTCAAAACATTCTTTTTTCTCCTGTTTTTTCTCTGGAAAACTATCTCTTCTTCACTCTCGCTGCTGGTTCCTACAGAACAAAATAGCAAACAGCATTCACAAGAAAATGCATTGTTCAGAACACAATATTGCTATAACTGAGCAATCAAAATCAAAGTCTGTCTCTCTTATAGAAGTACCTATGAAGGAGATTACTTATCGATTTATGTGGCAAATATTGTTCTCTTTAGCCTTGCTAATCAAAATAAATAATATCCAGCTGAGATATACAATAAATCCTGCTTCCCTGGAGAGTCTCTGAGTGAAAGTGATTACCCCAGGCAGCACAGACACAGAAAAAGGAGTCTTGAAAACAAGAGCAATAACCTTTTGAAGTTGAGTAAGAGTTGTACTTCTGGAAGCATTTTCTAATAAATCTCCCTTTGGGTCCACTGAACAAGACCAGAGCTCACAGAAAAGTCCTCTTTCCAATTCCTTTTCAAACAACTGCAGCCTTTTTGGTTTTACAAAGGACTGATTTTATGAAAGACAAGATCTTCCTTTCTGCATGACAAAGCTCCACTTCTGATAGAGAGACCCTGGATTTGGTGCATGAAGTACACTGCCTGTTATGACATCCTTCCTACCCCAAAGCAAGCTCAACATTACTTGCATCTATGGCATTCTGGCTTATTTTTCCCTCTGCTTCTTTGGGAGTATAGCAGGATAGAGACGGACAGAGAGTTGGTTCTGATTGAATCACTCAAAGTTTGAATTTCTTTAAGGAAAAGCAGAAAATTCCCAAACTTTCCACTTCTACAATAACATATTTAAATACCAGTAACTATCCATTTCAACAACATACATTGCCTGGGAGATTTTCAAGACCTGACTGGACCAAGCTTTCCACCTCAGTGCCTGTCAGGCCACACCTGGAATACTGTGCTCAGTTTTGGTCCCCGCTGTACAAAAAAAGATGTGGACAGGCTGAAGAGGGTCCAGAAAGGGGCCATAAAGATGTTCCAAGGACTGGGAAGCTGTGTGAGGAAGGGCCAAGAGGGCTGGCTTGTTCAGCCTAGAGAAAAGGTGGCTCAGGAGAGGCGTGATCACCATGTTCCAGCAATTAAAGGATGGATACAAAGAAGATGGAGACTCTCTTTTTACAAGGAGCCACTTGGAAAAGATGCGGGATAATGGGCACAAGTTAGTCCTGGGGGAGATTCCAACTGGACACAAGAGAAAGTTTTCACACTGTGAACAATCAGCCATTGGGGAAGTGACGGATTCCCCAGCACTGGACACTGTTAAGATTCGACTGGACAGGGTGTTGGGACATCTAGTCTAGGTAATGCTTTAACTAAAAAGGTTGGACCAGATGATCCTTGAGGATCCTTCCAACCTGGGATTCTACGAAAGCCAGATTCACTATTATTAACTCCGCAACTCTAAAACAGGAATTAGTTTCTTTTTGTAGTTTTTTGTTTGTTTTAAATTCATTATTCTTATTAAACCGATTACAATTTTTAAATTCAGCAAACTAACATATCAGTTTGAAGGTGTGATTATGATTCAGGAAGAAAGGTGGCATTCAACAATCAATCATCTTCAGAAAATACAGTATCAGACAAATTCAAAGAGAAGGAAAAGAAAAAAGATGTTTTTACCTCCAAAAGGACATTTCTGCTTTGTTTCAACGTCTAAGGACAGTAACAAAACCATTCAAAAAACCTCAATGTGCCTTATGAATCAGACCAAGTATTATTATGTCTCAACTACTCTGAAAGTAATTCAAGGTTGTTCAGAAACAAATACAAAAAAAGCGTGAATATGACTTGTACATGACCTACAAGTGAAGAATGACAGTCATTTATATATTAGCGATATATGAATATGAAATACTTTTTTTTTATGGTATGTTGGTCCTAAACCAGAGAAAGACAGAAGGGGGAAAGAAAAGGGAGGAAATAAAAATAGAATAGAGCCTAAAACCAGTCAGTATCTTTAAGACAATCCAGGCTTGTGCTGAAGTTATAATCAGAAAATTTTAAACACAAGTCAATTGTCAGGCAACAAAACAGAAATCAGTAGTTTCTATTCCTCAGGAACAATAGGAAAATATGAAGGCATGGATTTGGGGATCAGAGTACAACGAATCCAGATGATTACAAATCAGACATTGGGAATATTAAGAAAGGGCTTTAGAAGCAGCTGAAGTGGGAAGTTGCCTCACTGACCCAACTTTTAGTAGTTACAACAATTTACATTATTCCCTTTCCCTTTCATCCTTCCCACCTTAGTCATAAAACTAAATTGAGGATCCAAAAGCTATTGGATTCTATTTATTTACACATGAAGGTATTAACTAACTGTACCCC